TAACTATTGCTTGTTATTTTTTGAAAGGTCAAGCTGTCCTGTTACTAGAAAAAGTACCTAAAAATGTAATGCTTAAAAATGAAATTGAATGCAAATGTAGTAATGGGAAAGATGCTATTAATAGATGCTTGAATTGACTCCTAAATGTTTATCTGTAAATTTATCTATTTTATTTAGTACATTTTCTGAAAGCAAAGCGTAGCTGTATATCATGCCCATTCATTTACTCTTCTAGAACTAGATTATTAAACTCAATTTTAAACTTTAGGAAAGCCAGTCAGATATCATTCTTTTTGTAAGATGCCAAATTGTGTTTTGGTGACCTTTCATATCAAATGACCCATGCATGAATTAGTCTGGGTAAACTTCTGAGGCATACAGTTGGACTGCTTGTTTCAGTGTCACTCTTTAGATCTGATAAATCCTTTTTATTCCTTGTGTGTGTGTGTGTGTGTGTGTGTGTGTGTGTGTTCCTTAAGCCTATACTTACTTCAAATGCATATATTATGGTTTCACTTGTTGGCTTGTTTTACTTCAAGACATGATGAAAATGAAATTGTACTTAAATCCCTTATGAGGTGTTATGTTTCAGGAGTATGGTGGTCTGATCTACACATTGATTCAACCCAGGCATACCTAACTTCTTGTACTTACTTACCAATTACTTTGCACCATATCTCATATTTACTTTTGTGTTAATTCCGTGAGGTTGTTGTCTTCTTACATTTTTTGTCACTTAAAGATATATTTATCACTCAAATATAAAAGCAACTTAGAAAAGAACACCCAAAAGTTTATTTAAAAATTCACCAAGCCACATACTAATGCATCTCTAATGGGGACGTTTCTTTTCACACCTCTAAGGTGATTGAGCCTGTCCTTTAAAGTGAGATTAGCAAACCAGTGTATGGAAGCTCCAATTAGCTTCTTTTTGGTTTGAAGCGTATCACAAACAGTAACAAGGTCTCCGAGGACACTTTTCTTGCAAGCAATGTAGTCATATTTCCTCATTAGTTCTTTTCAATTGTCACTAATGCCATGTTCCAGCTTTTGAGTAGGAGACAAAAAACATAAAAATTTGGTATGTATGGCGAATGGGCCATTGTTTTCCATAATTCAAAGCTCTTTTGAATTCCTGTGATAGTTTTGAAGCTTACACAGCTTAATTCATTAACCTTTGCCCTTCACACAAATCAGGTGATTAAAAATCTATTGCTAAGGACACAGATCTTCCCTCCAGTGAAATTTAGTAATGCTGTCTCTTCTTAAAAACAAAACAAACCAAAAAACTTAAACAAAATAACCTATTGCTTTTCAAATTTTATCAAATGTTTCAAGTGCATTTTTAGAATGTTATCAAAATCAAGTGAGCCTAAAATTACATTATTATCAAAAATAATTTTGGATGCTGTGAATACTTGAGAGCAGGTTTTCTGGAAGTTTTCTGTATTCTAAACACGTTTATATATATGTACTCAACAGCTGTTACTCAAGAATTTACAATAGTAGCAATTTTTTAAAAATTCTCTTCAGACCCCTGCTAAAACATAAATGGAAAAAGCTAATCTGAGGGGAGGCACTTCAGAATAGCTAAAGACTATTTAAATGAGCCCAAGACATTAATTTGGAAAAAAATTATATAGATCTTCACTTTGTAGAGAAGGTGATATAGAATCTTTCCAAAAAGTGAGTAGTTGTTTGTAGTTCTTTATAGGTGAGACTATATTTATATCTTTTGATTTTTTCTTTCCTTTTGTTAAAAACATATCTCTTGTTATTTCTCAGAATTCAGGAAGGAAGATAGCTTGGTAGCTTCATGTTCTTTCATGTACATGGGCTACAGTAACAGTATTTGATTCTATGACATTTTTCTACCATGACATTTTCCCACATTATGAACATTATGATCCCAAATGACCATATAAATAGTTACTATTCCTAAAGATATATAGTTGCAGAGTTTAATAATTTCTTATATTACCATGCATGATACTGCTCTGTATAAAATGTTGGTCATGTGATTTTCTAAAGTTTTTCGAGATAAGGACAGGGAGTGGGAAACATCAGAACAATTTGAATTCTAGATTCTGAATTTAGGGTTTTATGACTTTTCTTCAGGGGCAGATTTATAATTTATAGTTGAGGTTAATGAATACTCTCCTGTGTGATGTCTGTGAGTATGAAAGGGAGTGAAGAGGGAAAGGGCTTAAATGGAGTCTTTGGTTCTGTTATTCTCCTCATTTAAATGATCACATTGCAGATATTTCTCTATTATTAGGGCCATTTTAAAAAACCCTTTGAATTTTATATAAGACCTAATTGTCAAAAATTTGCAATGGTTTATCACTTCATTTTATTTTCTATATGCCTTCAATGCAGAGAACTGGCAGATGCTCTGACTACGGGTCGTGGCTAGAGCCAATACACTTTGTAAAACCATAAAAGTGGTTCACAGACTTGAGTTATGTTAGTATACTTTCTGTAAATATATTCTGCAGTGTACTAGCAAAGTTTCAGGAGAAAAGGACACTCACTATCTATGGTCTCTCGTTGTGACCCGTTATCACCACATGCTGCCTGGGTAACTAGACCTAGACAAATTATGCCTTCAGACACTAGCGGGGAGCATTAGATGCTACACTATTTTCATCAGTTTGAACTAACAGGATAACACAGACTACTTCTGTTTCACTTTTCAAATCATTAGCTATTTTAGCTGTTTACTTCAACTGCTGTTATTTTTTATTTTAATATATAATAAGCATTTTATTCTATATTCAGAGAACTTGGGCTTTCTCTCCTCATATAGCAAATCCGTAAAAGATATACTGTACAATTAAATTTGGTTACAAATCCTCCAAAGAATAGTTTTTTCTCCATATGTTATTATTCCAAGAATAGTTTTGTGTTGTACATTTGTCTATGTCCTAGCATACTAGCTGTGATTACAGGGCAATTAAAAGTATTTAGAAAGTCTGTGTAACTGAACTTTCAAGAACAGCAAAAATCCTATATGATCCTTTGTTAAAATCAAAGTATTCTTCTGTTTTTCCTTTCTTTCTTGGTCTCTAAGATACATACTGCTTTATTCCTTAATCGTATATTGCTTCTTGGCTATTATATTACCTCTTGAGTAAGTTACATAATTTTATAATATCTACTCATAATCATCCACACTTCCTGTATTTTTCTGTGTGTTAGGAGGAAACATTATGCTTTCATCAGTTTGGGGATAAGCTTCATCCAGTGATTATCTTATATAAATACTAGTTCTTGGTGCCTATGAAATAGAATTTGATTACAGTGAAATTATATTGTATTATTTACTACTTGTAATCTTTTCTATATATTTTTGTTTGTATGTGCTTACGGCATATGTATCTACTATAGATTTAAATACAAGGAACACAAATAAGATTATATTTATTTACTTTTTTCTACAAACAAGTATAAAATCAGACATTTCATTCAAAAAGCAACTGAGAACAAAATAGAATGAATACTTTTTTAG